GTGTATAAGAGACAGAGATATCTCAAATTCGCTTGCGGCATAAATTTTAGAATCATATTTTACGCTGAAAACAACGGTGTGTGAAAAAGTGTATAACTTTAAAGTGTATAATAAATGTATAACATATTTTATTTTTCACGATTTATATATTTGTGTCATAATGTCTTACCATCTACGTATAATCATTGAAATTTTACGTCGCGTATGACTAGACAATGACTACAACACATTTGAATGAAATCATGAATGTTAAGAGTTAAATAGCGGAAAACGCATGCACAGTAAATTATACATTTTTATAAACTTTGTATTACAAGTAGGAATACATGCGTGATTATTGATTGACATTGAATTTTATAAACGATATGGATATATCTTGCGTGAACTGTGTGCTCGAAGGTATGTTATTATTTATATGAATAATATTTAATCTTTTCCATTAATGTTATTTTTTATTATTATATTTTTTATCTTTGTTGTAAATAGTTTCCTCCTTCATTAAAATGTAATGTGATCATAACATTTAATTTTAATTCACAGATATATACATATATATAAGATTATACATTATATTAGATATATATAGATATATATTAGATTATATATTATTATTCACAGATTATATATAAGAAACGAAGAAAAAAACAGCAGAGAAAAAAGGTGAATAGAGAAAGGTGAAGGAAAATAAGAAGAAGATATTATATGAATCTTTATCATTCACATTAATTAATCATACATAATATTATATGAATACATTTGTGGAACTTATAGTATAAATAAAATAAAATGGTGTTTATACAATTGCGATTTATTGCATTTGTTCAATAATTTTATAATACAATTAGAACATGACAATTTTATAATCATTTAGTTATATTATAAGTTCTACAAATGTATTCATATAATATTATGTATGATTCAACTACAAACGACGGGCAAGTCACTATACATAACTACAAACGATTCTAAATCAAAATATATTATTGTTTTTTTTGTAACTCAAAATCGGGTCAGTAAAAAGGATAGTCATTTTTCAAAATTAAAAAGAATAGTCATTTTTTCAAAATTTTTTTATAAATTTATTATTGAATTACAAAACGAAATTATACTACAAACAACTACAAACAAAATACTAACCTTTTTTTATTGTAAACTTATTTTAGTAAAAGTCGGGTGCCAAGTTCACGTAGGTGAATTAGCGCATAAACGAGTACGGATGGTGTGCGTACAGAGGAGTTTATAATTATTTCTCGAACATAATACTTCGGAAAATAACTTTATCACACATGGTTGAATTCGTCTTAAAATACCCTTTAATTTGCTTTAAAAAATTTGAAAAATTAAAAAAAATGGTTGGTGGGGGTAAACAAAAAAATAAACAATAAAAAAATTATTTTAAATTATAATTATAAAGTATTCTTAAAGCCATTCAACTTTTATTAGAAACATTTTTTTCTATTTCTCGTAATTTTGACGATATTTGTATTGAAATTAAAAAAACCGATTTTTTTCTAAGAGATGTTTCACCCTCTTAACGGGCGACTCAGTACGTATAAAAAAATTGTAGTATCTTATTTTTGTCTGTAGTTTAACATATCCAAAGCTCATTGAAATCGGAGGGAGACACTTCTATGTGTTCCCTTGTTAGATTTTATTTTTATTAAAATAATTATATAAAGTGTGTTATTTTATTTCAAATTTACTTTATTTCAACTTACTTTATATTACTTTATTTCAAATTTGTTAAAAATAAATATGAAAATTGGAAAAAGTAGGAAAAAAGATAAACTAGAAAAAGAAAAAAAAATTGAAGAAAAAACGAGAATTACATCTTTAATACGTTCATTCGTTCTTAAAATAATAGAAAGTAACAAAGAAAAGTCAATGAACTAAAATCAGTTAGTAAAATAAACTTTTTTATTTTTATGGAATATTAAAAATAATACGAAACAATTATAAATAAACATTTTGTTAAGATAGCAATAACTATTTTTATTTACAATTAAGGATAACTTAATAAATTCGAATTTTTGTATTATTTTTAATATTCTCTGAAAAAAGCTTATTTTACTAACTAATTTTAGTTGATAGACTTTTCTTACTATTACTTTACAATTACTTTCTATTATTTCAAAAACTAATGAATGTATTGAAGATATATAATTTCGTTCGTTTTTCTTCAATTTTTTTCCTCTTTTTCTATTATAGTTTACCTTTTTTTCCATTACTGTTTCCAATTTTCTTATTTATTTTTATTTTCACACACACACACACACACACACACACACACACACCGCGCGCGCGCGCGCGCACACCTTTAATTCCTATACTAAAGCCTTTCTATACATTATATCTCGTAGTCTAATTTTCTTTCTATCTTCTCAAATCCTGCATCTTTTCTAAAATAAATATTCAAATCTATATTTCTATGTTAAAAAGTAAATCTATTTGGTTTCGATTAATCATTAAATTCAGATTATGAATAATCGTTATGTTCAAGTCTATCGTTAAATGATCGTAGGATTTTTAGTACATAGTAACGATAGGATGATCGTTCTCTTTCTCCTGCGACTGTCAGTGAGCTCACCTCGAGAGCAATAGATTTGATCCGATTCAGATAAGTTTAATAATATATTAATAAGTATTTAGCGTATAAATATATTGTCAATTGCTCCTTGTTATTCATAGTTTTACGGATAGATTTCACAATTACTATTTATGTGTTCCCATTTTATTTATATATTAACGTATGTATTTAATTATAATTTAATAATAATTGTGTTAGCTTTCAGTTAATAAATATATGTATATCTATCCGTATATTTTTTGTGTCATTGAATGCAGATCATAATCAAATAATTACTATATATACTAATGTAATTTTTAACACTCTATAACAATTTATTATTTTTCTTTCTTTCTTTTAAATATTTTCCTTTTTATCCAATTTTGTAATTTTAATTTAGCCCTTCTTGATCTACTATTTTTTCATTCTTATTTGAGGAATTCTGGTATCCTTTTCTCTCGTTTATCTATTACATATATACTTCAAACTTTTCATCTCTTCTTACTAAGAACAGAATTGAAAACTCTTTTACAAGATAGAATAAACATAAAATATAGACATGCCACATACGAATTAATTTGTAGTAAAAACAAAAAAACTTAAAAATACATTTTTTCGGGTTGTTACAGCTGTCACACCTGACATAAACATTTCATTAGTATAAAAGTTCTATAGCTTATATGTACAAAATAAATATTATATCGCGCGCATTGGATTACATAAAAGAATAATAATAATAATAATAATAATAATAAAAGCCTTTTGAGCTACGTATACGATTGAAAGCATAGCTCAAAAAAAAGATATCTCTACGATTGCAATTTATGGTAATTTGATCGTATACTTATAACTAAAATACAAAATGGTAAACAGAGCATTAATTGCGTCTATAATAACAGTAAGTGCCGGGTTTTGCTCGGAAAAGAGCTGTAATATGTTAAATAAGAACAAATGTATATGTTTAACCCTCAGCTAAAGCACTATCTGTATTTCCCGATTCTGGAGCACTGAGTGTGCGACACCCTCAACGTTTTCACTCGCGTATACTTTGTATATAATGCATAGAATTTGAAAATTTTTTAAAAATTGATACGTCAAATTGTCCGAAAAAAGAATAAATGGGTGCAAAAATCGAGAAATTGAAAATATTCGAGATATTCAGGAACAAAGGAAAAGAAAATCTTTTAATTTCGGTTTTTTTTTAAACTTCATAGTTTCAAGGGAAAAACCGTTAAAGATTTCTCTAACGGATTTTTAAAGGCAATTTAAGAAAGAAATACTATTATTTCGATTATTTTAAAAAAGTATATTTTACTCTGAGTGTAGTACACCCGCATAGACTGACAAATTGAGACTTTGGAAAATTTCTTGTTGACCTTCGGAGACTGCTGTGGTGGGGAATTAGTAGTGGGGGTATGAAACTTTCTTTAGCCTCTACTCGATTTCCCTCTATCCTTACGGCTTGTGAATGCTTAGCGCTATTATATACAGCCTGGGTGTACTACACCCAGAGTTCCAGTTGAGGGTTAAATAAAATAGAACGATAGTGTAACAAATTAATTTAAAAATATCACTTATCGATATTTATAATTTCAAAAGTCTATTTTATCTCGTGCATGTTCAGCCATCGTGCCAGCATCCCCTTAAAATTCTTATTAGTTTTTACATTAATATATTGTCCGTTTTCTTATTTTCGACTATATTACAATAATTTTATAATAAATTTTTTAAATATTAGCATTACAGAGATTCTATTATTATGACCGTTTTTCTGACCGTAAATGTATATACATGAAATGTGGTTAAATCAATGTTCAAATAATCATCGATTTATGAAACTGTGATTCGTCAAATAATCATAATCGATTATGATCAACTTTAGTATTTTGCATTTGTGTTACCTTAATTATATCTTCCAAGTGTTCTTTAGTTTTCTTTTATCAACCGTCAAATGTAATTTTAAAACTTACATATGTTTTGTGAGATTCTAAAAAAATAGATAATTGATATATTATTTTTGTAACATTAAGCACAACACTACTACAATTAATTAAATATATATATGTGTTTATTTTAGTCTCGTAGCACCGCACTTACAATTTGGAAATTAATCACACAAGACAATCTAACTAGTAAGGATCGAGCTCGTTGAAATATTCGCGAATAATTCAAGTGCGAGTAAGCACGGTTAAAATACATACAACTATTTTAAAGTAGAAAAGAAATTCGATCTTTTTTAGTGCCTGGCATGTACTCACTCGAAGAAATAAGATTATATATCAATACACAATTTTACACTCAGAACAGCTTTTGAGAACTCAGGTGATGGAACTGATGCCGTATTTATTGATAACGATTATTTATCGCTCACGCGCGATATATAACAAGATAATCATTTCCTACAATTTTTTAAGCGTTGAAATGATTCCATTTATCAAATTTACTACGTTATAATTTTGAAAAATTTATGATCTAAAAAGAACTAAAAATGGTTATTTTAGTACATTTTGGCATACTATGTGACATATTGGCGAAGTTTTGTTGTAATAAAAATTAAATGTTGTTAGAACTTTCAGAAATTTATGTCGATTATGGTTAAAAAAATATTTATAATAATAGCGTCTATTGGGTCAAAATTATAATTTACATATTTAAAAAATCAAATATTCTTAATTATATTACTCAAATATTAAGGTTTTTTATATCACTAATGTTAAAATTGATAAACTTAAAATGGACTCAATATGGTGGATATCATAATTTTAAAATATTCAAATTTTTTGAATAATTTGTATATAGAACTTAGAAAAAGAATAGTTATTTTATATAATATGAATTAAATTTATCAAATTTGACATTAAAATTGTATTCAGTAAAATGTTCACCTTTAGAAGGATTACAATAAAAATATTATGCAATATATTGCAATGTAATATATTTAAAAAATTAAATAATAAAAATATTACTTTTTCTTTTGTGTTACCCGAACATCAAAGAAAAAATATGTATTGTTCAAAAAAATTAAGAAACGGTGTAATGCATGAAAGGACTATAGTCTTTCCGAAACTTTTCATACGAGTCAAGACAATTCTCCCTTTTGAAGGTAAAAATGCTGTTTTGCAATTCGCTTTTCATATGTATGCGTGAGTATATACCGATCACATGATTGGACTTTGCAACATTTAACATCGATATTTTTGGATCTAAGATTCATTCTTGAGATTAAGATTCATAATCTGATCTTATAATTAAAATTATGTTAAGTAAAAGATTTAATTAATGAAATGGTCATAAATAGCAATTTAAATGATTTTTGATAACAATATCAATCTATTATTTTAAACTTTATTTATTTGTCATAAATATAGTAAAAAATTATTAAAATTTATTATAGTATTATAGTATTACAGTAATTATAAAATTATGGTTTGACACTGTTTTTAAAATATAAATGTCATCTTGCTGGTATTTTGCTACTATTATATATTTTTACAGGTTTCCATAATATTGTATTGTAATTTATAATGTTTCAATGCTGTTGTTATAACGCAACTACAATGTTCTGTGTTGTAGAGATGTGCGAACTATTCGAATGCGAATCGAATTGAATCAGATAATGATTTGAACACGAACTACTCGTAAAGAAGGATATGTAAAAATGGACTTTTGAGAACTGTATTAAAGCGATCGAATAAATCGTACATATTTTTACGTATTGTTATGCTCGCGCCGTTCGATTTGAGCGAGCTGGTCGAGCCGGCGAAAAGAATTTGAGAAGCTTGTTTCGTGGACAACGAAATCTACGTTGTTAAACAGACGCCATTAGATTTGGAGACGAGCCATGACGAGACGAGTTCGAACCGTCGAACCGTTCGGACATGTTCCCTAACCCTTTCTGTATAACGACACGTTGTGTTCACAGTTACATTAATGAGATTGTTCCTCCTTTTTAAATTGGTGTTCCCCTTTATTCTTTCGCGGCGAACCGGTGCGCGTACGCGAGTGCGGAAACGCGAGCTTTCGACGAACGAGTGCGCAAGCACGAGTTTGACCGCCCCGGGTGTAACAGCTAATATTTTGAATCATAAAATCCGAAAATGACCATAAAAATTACACCTATAGCGAGGAAAACTTGGAAAATGAAGAAAAGTGGGAAAAAAATGAAATCGTTATAACTCGCGGATGTAATTTCCTTACTTTTATGTTTTTTTACGCAAAATCTCGAACTAGTTATTTAGAAGTACTCAAGATACATACGATGTGCAAAAAGTTTCGGTCTGGAAAAAGATGTATAAAAAGTACCAGGACGGCAAAATATCTCGAAAACTAAGCATTGTAGGAAAAAATGTTTCAGATAGAAGTTGTAGGGTTTCAAAAGATCTACTATTTACTGGCGCTATTAGTTTGATCTTGAGTGGCGTCGCCAAGATTAGGACAAGATCACTTGAATTTTTTTAATAGGACTCCTTATTTTTGTTGCAAATTCTTGTAGTCTTTCTTCAGACCTTTTCAAAGCACAATAATTTTATCTACGTCTTTATAATAAGTAAGCCGTTTTGATATTATCGAGCTTTTTATGATAATTGATGTCTAGCTCACGAAGGCAAGATCGGAAGATCGTGATGTCCAATAATTGATTAGGACACAAGTTGATTCTCAAGATTTATTGTAGTGTAACTCTCTTTTTACAGCCTGTTAAAATACCCTTTTATTTTAGCTAATAAAATTATATCTTGTAACAAATATGTTTATCTTTAAAAAATAAAAAGTATTTTAACAGAAGTAGCAAAGAAAGTGACATAAAGAAAGAATGATTTTGCTGAAAAATGTAAAAGTTTTGCTGGATATTCCTAAATAGAATTAGCTAAATATTATTTGATTTTTTCAGCAAATATTTTTTGCTGTAGCGCCTAAATTTTAACAACTAATAAATTTAGCTTTGGCAGTAACAATATTAGTTGTCCTTATATTTTAAAAACACACATTAGCTGCCACGGCTATATTTTAGCTGCGTTGGCCAA